CTGCAAACTTGTCATTTCTGAGCCCGATCCTGTGGTGGAGCCATCTGCTGAGGGAAAAGTAAGGACGGTCAGAAGTGCAAACCTTAAGGCAGGCTACACACCTACAGATATAATATGGAAATAAAAACATTGAGTATCCAACGTTACTCCTAACAGCTGAAAATTTGGGCTTCCTGTACAAAACTATGCAAAAGTACCGGATATTTTTACCTTTGCAAAACTGAAAATGCTTAGCTTTGTTAGTGTTCTAGAATTGCGTCGCTCAAGGTGGCTGCATGTTGGAGCAGCTCTGTTACTTTCATTCTGAGATTTTGCTTTTGGAAACTTTAATTCCTCTTTTTCTGGATGTAAATCACATTTTTTGGATGATTGTTTCCTCTGGTATCAGATGCTGTGCAGCTGGAAGGATTTTTACTGAAACTTTTTTTTAGTTTTGGACATTTGTTACGATGTGTAACCATGGCAACAAGGCAGTTTTCTACAACCAACAGCAGCTGATTAATATCTCAAGAGCTCAAATAATATCTCAACTATAGCCCCAAATCTCAAATGAGTTGAAAGGATGTTCTGTGGACGCATTCTCATCTACCTGCCAGCTGTGCTCGAGTGCCTGACCACTGAGATCTTGGAACTAGCAGGAAACACGGCTCATGATAGCGAAAGGACAGGATCGTCCCTCGGCGCCTACAGTTGGCTGTCCGCAGAGAGGAGGAGCTCGGCAGACTGCTGGGAGGAGTGGCCATCGCTCTGGGAGGAGTTCTGCCCTGCATTTGGGCGATCCTACAGCCCGGGGAAACCAAGAGGCCAGCCAGTGTTGCCAGGTGTACGATAATTATCGTATTTGTATGACAATTTTGCCCTCTGTACAATCAATAATCCCAAAAAAGGCCAAATATACAATAATTTGACCATTCCGTGAATGTGTGGTTGTAATCAGTTGTCATCAGCCTGTCGCAATTGTCTGTCTGATTTTTTTTTTGTGAACCCTGAAGGCATCTATGTCCGAAAACAGACGCACGATTGGCTGGAAATTCCAGCCAATCGTGCTTTTCTAAATGTTACCTATGAGTGATGTGTATGCTTTTGCCTCAGAACAACGGCCATGATTGGCTGAATAGTCCGCTGCGCCTGCCCCATGAGTGAGGAAAAGAAAAGAAGAAGAAGCAGAGCCGGTCTGGAAGCGGACCCATCACTACTATAGTGCATCAATAGATTTGTTATTTTGGTTATGACGGGTGTGCGATAATTTCCCTCAAAATACGATAATTTTATGCCTCTAGTACGATAATCCTACATTTCTCACCTGGCAACACTGAGGCCAGCTGAGTCTGGGTGGATGGATCGGACGGAATCTGCAGCCAGTTTCTTAGGATCCACTGTGGGATGGACCTTTACAAGAGATCCTTCCTGCCTACAGCCATCAGTATCTATAACATCTCTTAATGAAATTAGGATAACGAGTTACAACAACAAATAATTTCCCTTTGGGATTGATAAAGTATTTTTGAATTGAATTGAACTGCCCACCACTGAAAGTATGCGATTCAAGATGGCTGCCACAGCTAACTGGCTTTGAGCACAAAAACAGCTAAAACACTGAGCTACAACTTTGCGTGGTAGTAGCTGAAACTGATCCACATCTTTTGTATGTATTGGCTGAAGATTACACAAGATCTTTGTTTGAGATGTTTCTCAATTTTCAGTCAACTGTTAACAAAATATCTCATGAACCAGTTTAATTTAACAAATATAGATGTAATTTTACAACTTTTTAACTTTAGGAGACAGCCCAATTCAAGATGGCTACCACAGTCGACTGACCATAGGAAACACAAAAATGCTGACTCAGTGACTCTTACAACTACAACTTTATTTGTCCAAATAATCGAATCCTTCTTTTGTCATAAAAGGTGGCGGGATATGAATTTCTTTACAGGATGCTAGGTGTTTACTTTGAGACTGACACAGAAGGCTAAAATGTGTTTAAGATTTTATCCAGACCACTTTGGCCCCAGCTTGGACCAGCCATTAGCTTGTCAATCAGGTCAAAACTAACTCTACTTCTCCAAACTATGTTGACTCAAAGACTGTCTGAAATAGGTCAGATATTAACTGTTCATAACCTTTCCACTTCTAAAGGTCTGAACTATCACTTTCAAATCCTTCTTGGCTGATATGAAATTGGAGTTATGCACACTAACCAATTTGATTTATAGGGGAGGGGGGGGGGATTAAGGGTCAAACAGCTATACAGCATTATACACGAGCTTAAATGAGTTGGAAATTATTCCCTCGTCAGAAGCTGAGTGACAGCTGACATAAGCTGTGAGCACACGTCAACTTTTACTTGGTAATCTTGCAGAACGCTAGCTGTGGTGATGAATTGCCTTATCTGCTGCATAATCTTTTGGCTGCCTTTACTTTTGACCTTTACTTGGGTTTGGATGCTTGTGTAAAATGCAGTAACGGTGGAGAACGCAGAGCACAATCTATTTCTATTCTTCGCTGTGGCATTTTTAGCAACTCATGCAGCTCTCTTCCCACGATCTCTCCCTTTAGTTTCCTGTACTGTCACAGTCTCCTTTCTCCTGCCGTAACAGCTCACCATCATTTCTTCCCGTCTCTTTCTAACTGCATCTCCTACCCTGGAGGAAAAAACTGCTTCTCTAATGACATGTGCAGGCTGTGTGTTACTGAGAGGATGTTAACGCTGCGTGTGACACCGTTTAAAAGGAGTTGTTTTTCTCGAGATTCCTTCCAGCTCCAGTGAGAACATGCACCAATACACAAGTGCTATTTCTGCACTGATGTGACGCCACTGTCTCACACATTTTGCAGATGACTGAAGCGTTTCATTCAATATGCAGACCCACTGTGACCCCTGCTGTTGGATAATGCAACATGACTTGTAAATCTCAAATAATGGCATCAAGAGCAAAATCCTGCATTTTTACGCCAACGCTTCAGATTTCAGCTTCAAATCCACCTGCACTTCTGGAAATCTGAAAATACAAAGACTCAAAACACTCCCTTCCAGACTGGTTCATCAGTACAAATATACAGAATAAAAACTAGCTCCCACTGTAAAAAGGGTATTTTACAGATGTGATTACAAGAGGGCGTTGTCAAGCAAAACATATACAAATTAGAATTTCAACATACATCTTTTCTACAAAAATGGAAAGAAAACATATTTCATGTATATACATATGACAATTGTCAGTGTTGCTTGCTCAGGATGAGAAACTGTGACAAAGTGATGATTCAAGGCAATCTGCTGGCTCCCTGATATCTTTACAATTGGAGGGGTTTTTTTTATGTATGTGAATTTTTTTTTGTACAGTGCCAGTGGACAACTTCTGGTGTTACAAGTTGGAACAATATAAACTGAACTGAATTAAAACGGTTTATATTTACACATCCTTGCTTTCATTCATTGTTCATTTTTAAACTTTATATTGAGGCAAAAACACTTTTACAATTAAGCTTACGTTTTCTCCAGATAATTCGGATTCCCCACTGCACAAACCCATGCCTGTAATTTGTCAAACTGTTAATAGTGAAAGGTCGTCCATCTTACCTGGTATTTGTCTCTGAGATGGACTGGTTACCTGTCCAAAGGGTACACAGCCTCTCACCCAGTGACCTCTGGTGACTATAGCACCAGATCCCCACGACTCTGAACAGAATTATTCGATCCTAGTCCATTTCTGAATCCTAGCGTGGACAATAAACTTTGCTGATTCTGCAGTCCATGCTGCCAGGAACTGTGACTTCCTGAAACCTTCTCCTCAGACACTTGGTTTGGAAAAGTCCATTTCCTTGGTAGGAAAGCAGGAAGTGTTGTGGACATTTATTGGTGTACATCGGTGGCAGAGAAAAGGGCCCTCAGTAAGCTACTATCCATCAGACAATGCTGACCATCCTCTGCACGGCACCATCATGAAGCAGAGGAGCTCCTTCAGTAGTACACTGCTGTCCCAGCCCTGCTCCACAGATTCAGGAAGTCCTTTGTCCCTCAAGCCATCAAACTGTTCCACTCCTCCCGTACAGTAAAAATAGCCTTGTACATCTATGGTACCCCAGACACTTATGTGTATGTATATATACACATGTACAGTACATATGCATATACATGTATTCATATATATGGGTTAATCATGAATGTATTGTACTCCCTATCACCTTGTGCAGTCTTTTTCTAAACGCGTGTACTTTTTTTTTTAAATTTCATATGCGTTTTTTTTCCTGTATAATTAGAACATGCTACTGGATGTCTCAAATTTCCCCTGGGATTAATAAAGTATCTCTATTTTTAGATGCAATGTAGGTGTTGGATCGATGATATCTGAAGCCACCTTTTGTTTAATGTTAGTTTCCAACAGCATAGATGGCTTCTCATTCACTCCTTTCTCACATGTCCCCCGTGTCCAAAAAGTGAGTGTTACTGTCCTCAGGAGTGTCCTTTATCCTTGAACCGTTGAGTCTTGGCCTGAGAGACTGGTTTACTACGTTATGCCATACATTAAATGAAGTTTTTGGTTTGACCAACTGTATTAAATGAGTGTCAGTCTTTTAGAATGATCATGTACCTTTTACACAAATGGCTTAGTGATTGTTGTAGGAACACTAAGTATTTATTGGTCATGTACTTATGTTTTATCCAGTTACTGAGCTTGCAGTACTAATAAAAAGAAGGAACACCAAGCTTAAGGCTTTAGCTTCTACTGCTGCTTTAACTGAGTATTTATGTTGATGTTTTAAACTTGATTTCTTTTAATACAACATAAAGCTGTTCCTGAAAGCTGGAAAAACCTTAGCTTATTGTCTAACATGAACTGAAATAGCAAAATGTAAAAATAAAATAAAAACAACCAGCCCCATTTTCATCAAGCCTAAAGACCTGCTACATGCAGGGCTCGATTCATTTCCTCTTACATCACAAAAAGACCAGAAAAACTTTGATGAAATTGTACATTTTATTCAACATAACATGGACATAAAAAGCAAAGCAAACTTAAAACAAACCCTAAGTGTTCAAAAGCATTTGATCAAAAGAATTCAATAGTTTACAGATATGGAACAAGCGTGGGCTTTACGTAGGAGTCACTCCCTGTCAAGGTTCTTACATTGTACATACGGTTTAAAAAAGGAGGTCAGGAAGAGAAATGCCACCTGACAAAGGAATACAAATCACAAGTAGTTGTTTTTTTTTTTTAATTTAGTTTAGTTTTACTAAATGCCAAGAAACACAGAGGACGTGTAAAGATTTTCAAAATAAGACAAAAACCCTAAAAACAACAAGTGTATTCTAAGTGATATTTGGCTGCCATTTAGACCAGTAAAGCCGATGAAAATTAGATGAACCACAACTATCGTCATCCAGCCAATAAAACTGACAGGTAAATAAAAACAAACAAACAAAAACAAAAGTATCGTTTCTCCCCTCATTTACATGTGTACTTTAGGTTTGTTTCTTAAATAAGCCACAACACATTTGTGGTTCACCTTGTTTTTAAGCAGCGACGTGTCAGGTTCAGGGTAAAGACGGGTTTGAGCTTCCACTTCTTCCTCCGCAAGATATCCCAGCTTCCCCTGTTGAGCAAAATGGCCACAATATGCAATGTAAGCAAGGGTCCCACAACAATTGCTGCTACACAACTATATTTACTAGTCAAACATATCCCTCAATTTAACCACAGAGGAAAGTTTAACTCATATATTGCCAATTATCCAACAAACTTAATTAATTGATAAAACAATTTAATTCCTAAATAAATTTGGCCATACTATGCTTTTTTTTTTTTTACTGAGTGCTTAACTAGAAATTAACCTAAATTTCACAATTGAATTGAAAATTTGTGACAAAAATATGATATTCCCTTTGCCATGTGAAACCAAGCCCTTAAATCCACAGAAACACCCGACTAAAGAAGTGTGACTTAAACAGTCGAACAATACTACTGTCTGCATAGTGAGAAGTTCAACTGATGGCAAAAGGTATATCAAATAGGTTGTCTGAAAACTCCTTCAAATCACTCTCCTCCTTCGAACAAATTATAAAATACACAAGCATAGTCGACAGTTAAAAATATACACACAGGCTTGCAAATACAAGAGCTAAAAAAAGTACATAAACGTTTCTTTTTCTGACAGGCAACAGCATTTAGAAATGGATGTGGGTAGAGAAAGGAGTACCTGGGGTGAGTACCTGCACAGTTTGACAGTCAGAGTATCCAAGATTTTTAATTTGCCCTTTTTCTCATGTGGTCTCGCTCACAACACCAACGCTGTGTGAGGTATAGAAGTCAGCTGCAATTCATTCGATAAACCCTACCCTCCAGTTAGTTAGTGTCCTTAGGCCCCTGGTGCTATAACCCCCCCCCACCCCACCCCCAAACACACAGTGCATGGCATTATCAGGCACATTAAGCTGGAGAATAAATCCATGTCATTTGAGTTATGATCATAGCAAAAAATATATAATAATAAAGCTCTTGCTTTTCAAATACACCTTAAACTGAAGGCTAAAGGTGTTTTAAGTACTTTAACACATAGGTTGGAGATTTTTGCAAAAATAATAGTAAACATGTAAACAACACAGTGACTGAATTTCCTCCCTAGAAGGAATATGTTCAATTGTTACATTTTCCTGTTTCAAAACAAGAAAATAAATCATTAAAATCAACCAAAAACAGGTAAACACAGCTATTTTTCTTGTTCGGATCCAACACTTTGCTTTCTGTTCTGCCATTTTTGTCTACAAAGTGAAATAGACATCTGCAAGGGTCAAAAACCGATACAAAACGAGGGGTACCTCCGGGCATGTTTGCTCAGGGCTACACTGGCCTTTCCCTCTTGGCTTTGAGTGAATGCTTTCTACCTTCTTCTCATTCATCGGGCCTAGTCCTTCATCTTCAGTGCATACTTACGATGCACTAATCAAAAACAGGATAAAGATATTTGCTTATAGCACATAAGACAAAAATCATAGTCATTGAACTGAACATAAACAGGGTGGAAAGCGGGAGGGCGGGAGTGGGGAAGGTAAAGGGAGGAAGGAGGGGTTTGGAGGAGGGGAGGGTGAAAGGGTAGAGCTAAGGGAAGTGAAGAGGAGGACGCACTTACCTGAGCCTGATCTGAGGTCCTATCAGATCAGTTTTAATTGGACTGAGTGTCACCTTCAGATTGGAGGAGCTCTTGCTGGCCGTTAAGCAGAGGGGGGGAGGCAGCTGCCTCAGTCTGCATTGGCTCCAGCTCTGATGAAGCCTTGAAGGCAGCTGCATCACTTTCAGTGTGCTTGTCTTTCTTAGAACTGCTCTTCTCCTCTGTTGCCTTACGGTCTGACAAACAGTAAACCCACAGTTCCATTAAATTATTATTTCAGATGTACAAAACTGCTCTGAAACAAAAAAACTAATGAAAAAACAGACAAACGAGTTCAAATACACATGCATCTGAATTCAGGTCTCTTGTAAATGAGTCCCTGAGGCTCAGTGGGATTAACTTGTATAAATAAAGGTTGAATGAGTTAAAAAGGGGGAACAAATTCCTACCTTTGTCTTTTGGTGACCGCTCTTTGTCTTTGTCCCTTCCCCTGTCTCTGCCCCTGTCTCTTTCTCTGTCCTTGCTGCGGCTACGGCTGCGGTGGCGGTAAGACTTGCGCTCTGAGCTGCGGGACCTCCTCCTGTCACGACTGCGGGAGCGGTGTTTCCTATCGGAGCGCTCTCGGCTGCGCCTCCTCTCCCTGTCCCGGCTCCTGGATAGAAAAGGAGAAAATGTTATGATGGTAATGTACAAAAAGAAGCATTCATTTATGCGTTTTCTTCAACAATTCGCAAGGTTATTGTAGTGGTGCACACATTTATCAAAAACCTACTTATTTTATTATTAATCATTATTATGTGCAGACAAAGTGAATTTTTAAGTTTATGACTAAATTTCTACTAATATTTTTCTTATTACTATTTACCTACTTCCACTATTTCTTGTCACCAACTAAACATAAATCGATTTATTTTTTAACACGCATGCATACAGGCAAATGCTAACAAATAGGCTGCTGCTTCACTTTTGATTAATAAAATTAACCTTCAAAAAGATGAATGCAAATAATTTTACATTTTAACACGATCACATCCTTTTGTCAAAAGCAGAAGATGAGCAGCGAAAAGGCCGCATGGTGTAACTTGACCGCTTTCATCTCAAAAAGCAAAGTCTGACGTACCTGCTGCGCTTCCGTTCTCTGTCCCGGTCTCTGCTCCTGGACCTCCGGCGGTCGCGGGACCTGCTCCGTTTCTTGTCCGACGCTCGGCTGGAGTGGCGGCTGTTGGAGTGGCTTCGTCGTGACCTCCTGTCCCTCTCGCGATCTCGCTCCCGTTCTCTGTCTCGCTCCCTCTCACGCTCCTTCTCCCTCTCACGTTCTCGCTCTTTCTCTCTTTCCTTCTCCTTTTCCTCCTCCTCTTTGCGCTTTTTCTCCCTTTCCTCCCTCTCACGCTCTCGTTCTTCTCGGTCCCGTTTGAGGACTGGGTTTTCGCCCGGTGGGTCCTCAGAACGGCGTCGCAGTTTTTCCTGAAAACAAAAATTATTATTCCTTAAAAAAACAACAGCAGGATATGGACCTGCTGATAGCTCAGAAGAAAAAACATCTTACGTAAAATCTACGTGCAGACATGTTTTCTGTTTGTCGCCTCTACAAACTTGGAATACACAATTAGGACGTTTACTAAACAAATGTTTGACTAATGGTGCTCTTACCTTTAGCTCCTCCACAGTGGATTTAATCTTGGCGTAGCCCATGTGCTGTTTGCCCATTAAGTGGTCGTCCACTCTGGACTGTGCATCACCCACAATGAGGAAGGCCCCACACACCTCACACACCTCCATCTGTTTCTCCTGAGCTGCAAAGCTTTCAATTGTCTAAACAAAATATAATATTATATTAATCACATTTCAACAAAAACAAGAACATGAATTATGTATTGAACAGTTAGCCCAGATTAAATTGATTGATGCCAACTAAAAATGGTGAGACCAACTCCAGTTACCAATGGTTTCCACCTGTCAACTCATTCTGCGTTCGTAAACACAGTATTACAGAAGTACCACCTACGATCCCGAGGGCCGTCTGTAGGTCGATTAGTGTTAGCTTACTCACCGAGGGGTTGGCGCTGAGCATCTCCCTCTCCTCTTTTAGCTGCTCCACCAACTTCATCATTCCCTGAGCCTCCTCCACACGACCCTCCGACCCCAGCTCCTCAATCTGAGCAAAAGCAAGTGCAGCAGATTACAGTTTTACAACAATACAAACAGATGCCTTTGGTGCATTTCAAAATGACTGTTCAATCCATAGGAACGCTTAAAACAACTTTTTTAAATGAGTATAACGATTAAATTACTGCAGTTAGACTGAATAAGATTACTGGAACCATTTACACATTTTTGTATAATGCTCTTAGATAACGTTTGCTAGAAACTGGTGATATATAAACAAACTACAATTTTATCCTTTTAATTACTGCCACTTGATTGACATAAAATAACTTTTATGTGGTGTTGGTTGTAATAAAAGTCATACGACAAAATATTTACCAACACATCACATCTTTTTTTTTGTTTTCAAACAACAACAATACTAATTTATAAAAGGAGGGGGAACTTGTAATAAATTAGCTGCAAACCTGAACAACAAGGTCTTCAATCTTCTCTGTTAGAACCTTGGCTTTCTCTTCATTCTTTCCTGTTGGCGCAGGACCCTGAAAACAAATAAAAAATTATAATATTTGACAATAGAGCCATGTTTTTTTTTCCCTTTCAAGCTTATGGTGTCCTATGTGTACATTTTTTTTTTTTTACATTGAAATAATGTTCAACATAAAAATCACAAACCCCAGAGTTTTGTTGGGCCTGGGAAAGTGCGAGCCGAGCATGCCCTCTACGAATCCGCCGCTCCACTTCAGTCAGCAGGGATTGTAGATATCGCAGGAAGTCTCTCTCGTAGCCCTCTTTCAAAAACCGAGAGCTCTTCTCATACCTGGGATAAAGGGGGACACTTTTTTTTAAAGAGGAAAACATCAAGACAGTTAAAATATTTCTACTTTCTCAAAATGAACTTACGTTTTCCTCAAATTTTCATCGTGGATTTTCTCACAAGGACCTGAAAAATAATTCACATTTGCTTAAATCCTAAAATTTAACAGATATAAAAACAGCTATTTGCAGATTACAAATCAGTCGTAAACTTACCCAAATCAGAACGTGTGTTTGTGAATAGCTCAGCTGGACAGAAGCCACACAGATAATACCGACAGACCTGAAGAAAAAACAATACATTAATTAATTATAAAATATCATAAAAGTTTAGGAGTAAATGCATTGGTTTAATCTGAATGAAGAAGATATGTAGGACTTATTAGAAGGAGTGTATGGCTTTTACTCATTTAATGTGAAGTGACTGGAGTTTGTGTGTTATAACAAATTCAACAGATTATTTATATATATA